CTTGTTCTGAACTTCATGCAATGCAGAACGAATGGGAAGCGGCCTTCGACCAGATTCTTGAAGAAGACGATCTGAAGCATGTCAGTGTTGACACCCAGGAGGAATGGGTATGTCAACTGAACAAATATCTGAGCTATGTAGATTCAATGTTGTGACATATGTATATATACACATACTCACATGTATATTTAAAGACGCATATATATATATATATATGTACTTTGTATATATGTATATATGTATATAATATATATATATATATATATATGTATATATATATATGTATATATATATATATTATATATATACATATATATTTATATATGTGTGTGTGTGCGTATATATTATATATATATATATATATATTTGTATGTATATAGAGTATTTAGCGTGATGCTAGGAAAGGCAGAGTACATCGTGAGACTACTAATTTTATCCACGTAAGATATACACAGCACGAATTGCAATTTCCCACACCTTCATTTCGGATGCGCTGTGTGTACGTGTTTTATTTATAAATGAATGTCTAGAATTTATACTTCTTCGCAAGGGACTGTTCTCACGAGTGACGGACGAGTGCGGCGTATTCGTCGGTTGTTCAAAGATATGAGAACGTGAACTCAGAACCCTGGAAGCCCTAAACCTTAAAATCTCCAACTCCGCAGTCGTAAGGTCCTTACTATGCACGGCAACTACTAAATTGCTTAAACCCAAGACATTGAACCCTAAACTCTAAACTCTAAACTCTAAACCCCAAACCCTCTGACCATGTAATGTCGTCGCCTACACTATAGGACCTGATGATAGAGGAGCTGGGACCAAAGGCAATCAATGCTGCATTAATGTCACATGGGAAGGAATTCCCACGCACATTAGCCTTCTCATCGGTATGTGATCGATTCATAGGTAATTTAGCTATTGTAGCAATATTTTACAGTTTTGTGAAAGATTTTGGCCGCTGTGCAATCAGTTTCTGCCAGAGGCGCGTCTGTGTTGTATCATAGTTTTGTATCTTACTTTACTAACCGCCCAAGTTTTTCACATATACTATACACACACGCGCACGCATACATATATATATATATATATATATATATCAAATCCTTTCCATTCGACATCATGAAGTACACATAAGTAGTATTGCTACTGATATTTGTACCCCATGGCGACTCTGCGCCAGGCTGTAATTGGCATATACAGCTGCGTAGAGGACTTCTACAAGGCGTCGCTGTCGTTTCTCCTGGACTTGAATCTGTCGCACACACAGCTGGACGAGGTGTGTGGCTCTGCAATAGGCGTGTGCTGATAGTTCATGGTGCTATTTCTTTGGTGCAGTATGTTGCAATCCATGCGTGTTGCTTCCGGTGGTTCGTATTCACAACAGCAGGCACATCCTGGGGTATGTGTCTTGTTTGTATTCATCAGTAGGTAAATACTTGAATATGTGCCTGTACCAGTGACATCAAAAACTTCTAACAATAGTACGCGTGTGCAGTACGGCTAAACGTCTACCGACACGAAACAGCCGAGTATACAAACCCCATCTGTGACACTGAGTCAAACAGTGTGTTGCCGTACAATGTTCGGTACGTTCAGTGCAGTGTGGTTACAGCTGACTGGGGAGATAAATGGTGTGCTGCATCACAACACGCACATATGTATATACATATAGACATATGTATATATATATATATATATATATGTATATATATAGGCAAATTCATATTGAATGCGACCTCTTGCTTATTCCTATCTGCAGATGATCCGAGTGAGTGGGTCTCGGCTGATCTCAGAACGTCTCAGCAAGTGTATAATTCGGACTATCGATAAACAAACGAGTTGTATTAACATCAACGGGTTGATGCAGTGTGTGTCAAACTGCCAGCTACTGCCACTAATTTTAGGTAGCTGCAACCTCTGTGTTTCTGTTGTTGTGTTGAGACATATTGCCTTGTATATATATATATATGCGTAGTCTGTGTTCCTGTCATCGTAAGTATGATATATATTGCCGTGTGCAGGTACTATATATATATATATATATATATATATA